TAACCTTAAGTACAAGGAAGGGCGAAGAGAACCCGGATGAGGAAGAGCATCAGGAGCACGATGATGAGAAGGATGATACAGAGGAGGAGGAGGAGGAGGAGGAGGAGGAAAGTAACGGCGAGAAGGAGGAGGAACGGCATGAGGATGCGGAGGAGAAGGGAAGACGATGAGGTTGCGCAGGAGGGTGGGCGGCGAGAAACACGATGAGGGCGGCGACATAAACAACGACGACGACATTAATAACGACAAGGGCGCACGCAAATCAGGAACAGGAGGACGGTGACTCGGAGGACGAGAACAAGTTTTGAAGCCACGTTAGATCTAGAGCCGTTGATGGGGATGCTGGACCCGGGCCTTAATCTATTCCTCCTTCGTCGCTGCTCCGCGTCATCCTTCTGCCGATGCTGCCCCTCGCATCCCCCGTCCCTCCGCTGCTCTCTTGTCACGTCTCGCCCGCCGTCCCCCCCACGCACTTCTCGCTCCTCACTTTCCACGCTTGTCCCAGGAGGAATTAAAGACGATCAGATGGGCCGCAGATGCGCAGAGTATCAAACAGCAGAGGAAGATACAGCGGAGGATGAAGATGAATAATATGATTGCCGTGACGAGGTGGATCGCAACGATGGCGGCGACCCGCCGACCATGACGACTGCAATATATCACAACAGCATCGGCGCTCAAGGTGACGACAACAATGGTTGCAATGATTCCTCGTGAAGTTGATTGTGAGTGAATTTGATGATGGGCACGGTGGTGATGCCGATGGCCACGATGATGATGATGAGGACGATGATGATGATGATGATGACGACGATGATGATGCTAATGATGATAATGATGATAATGTCCACGACAACGACGAGGGCCCTGATGACGACGACGGCGACGACTACGACGAAGACGAATCGGATGAACGGGCGGCCGTCCGCCGCGGCAGAAGCGGACGGCCGGCCGAGGCCGCGGCGAACGCCCGAGAGATCTACGCGGCGGCCTCTGCTGAGAGAAAGTCTGCGCTGCAAGGCTCTTCTCAGCAAGGGCACCCGGGCGCCTCTGCTGAGAAGGCGTGGGTCTGATCCCGGGATCGCCCGCCGGGCGTGATGAGACGACGCCCTCCAAGTAGAGCTTGTTTCATCAGGGCCAGACGATGATCCCAGGGTCAGACCCGCGTCCTCTCAGCAGAGGCACCCGCGTGCCTCGCTGGGAAGACCCCTACAGCGCAAGCCTCATCTCAGCAGACGCCGCCGTGTAGATCCTAGACGTTCGCCGCGCCACGTGCTCTCAGCAGGGCCGCTGGGTTGGCCTTGCCGAGAACGCGTAGAATGCGGCAAACGCCTAAGACCCCAGGGGCAGGGGGCTCGATCGGAAGCGAACCGCTGTTGGTGTCGGCTGTATGTTCTGTTGAAATACCGATGCCGATCATGGCTTGGTACTGGTACCTGCACCGGCATCGGTACTGGTATCGATAGCGATACTGCTACCGACAGGCGCATAACCGTTCTTAGCATCAACATTCGCACAGTCCAAGGGGGCCCTGCGGGAGTCTGGAGGAGAGAGGGGGCTGCAAGGAGGAGCAGGAGGGGTATGGGGGGAGATGGAGGAGGCAGCAGCAGAAGGAGGACCAGGACAAGGATGGAGACGAGGCGGAGAAGCATCACCAACATACCGATTTATAGGCTCAGTCCAGCATCCCCGAGAGCGATTTTGAGCCAGGATGGCTCCAAATATTGTTCGCGCGTCCACCGAATCATCGTCCTCCCGCCCCTGATTTGCCTGCGCCCTTGTCATCATCACAATCGTCGTCATTGCTGACATCGTCCTCTATGCCAATATTTATTGCCCTCTCCCCCTTCCCAAACCTCCTTCTCCTCCCCCTCCTTCTCCTCCCCCCCTCATCCCGTTCCTCCTTCTCCTCGTCTTTCCTCTCCCTCCTCCTCTTTTTTTTCTCACTATCACCATCGTGTTCCTGATGTTATTCCTCCTGGTTCTTCTCGCCCCACCTCGCTCTCCTGGTTCTCCTCCTCGCCCTCAAAGTTCTCCTCTCGCTGGAGATTTCAACGTGTACCAGGGCGTGTCAGAAATTCATGTTCTCGCCTCGGCGCCGGCTAACTGCCCCCTCGGGGCAGGGGCGCCTGGACCCCTCCTGGGGCGCAACTCGATATTTGCGATGTAATGTAACAGGAAGCTTGGGCCTGGCCCCATCTGACTCCTCCTCTCCCACCTCTCGGAGCCCAGTTGTGAGGATGTCTCAGGCAAAACTGACTGGGCTACCTCGTGCGCGGCATCTCGGAGCCCAGAGTTGCGAGGAGGTCTCAGGCGAAATTGGCCCGACCATCTCTCGCGCGGCATTTTGGAGCCCAGAGTTGCGAGGATGGATCAGGCAAATCTGGCCGGAGTACCTCGAGCGCATCATCTCTGTGCCCGGAGTTGCGGGGATGCATCAGGCCATATTGGCCAAGCGACCTCGGGCGCGGCATGTCTGAACCCAGAGTTGCGAAGATGTCTCAGGCGAAAATGGGCCAGATCACCTCAAGTCAGGAGCATCTCTGAGCCCAGAATTGCGAGGATGTCTCAGGCGAACCGGACTGGACAACCTCACGCGTCGCAATTTCGAGCCCAGAGTTGTGAGGATGTCTCTGGCGACATGGGCCAGATCACCTCAGGCCACAACAGTTCAGAGACCAAAGTTGCGAGGATGTCTCAGGCGAAACGGGCCCGACCACCTCGCACGCGGCATCTCTGAGCCTGGAGTTGCGAGGATGTCCCAGGCGAAACAGGCTGGACCACCTTATGTCAGAGTATCCCTGAGCCCGCGCGCGACATCTTGGAGCCCAGAGTTGCGAAGATGTCGCAGGCAAAATTAGCCGGACCGCTTCGCACGCGGCATCTCGGAGCCCAGAGTTGCGAGGAGGTCTGAGGCGAGTTTAACTGGGCCACCTCGCGCCTGGCATCTCGGATCTCAGAGTTGCGTGAATGCCCTGGGCGAATGGGGCCAGACCACCTCAGGTCAGGGCATATCTGAGCCCAGAGTTGCGAGGATGTCACAGGCGAGTCGTGCTGGACCAACTCAGTCAGAGCATTTCCGATCCCAGAGTTTCGATGATGCCTCTGGCGAAACGGGCCCGACCACCTCGCACGCGGCATCTCTGAGCCTGGAGTTGCGAGGATGTCCCAGGCGAAACAGGCTGGACCACCTTATGTCAGAGTATCCCTGAGCCCACGCGCGACAACTTGGAGCCCAAAGTTGCGAAGATGTCGCAGGCAAAATTAGCCGGACCGCTTCGCACGCGGCATCTCGGAGCCCAGAGTTGCGAGGAGGTCTGAGGCGAGTTTAACTGGGCCACCTCGCGCCTGGCATCTCGGATCTCAGAGTTGCGTGAATGCCCTGGGCGAATGGGGCCAGACCACCTCAGGTCAGGGCATGTCTGAGCCCAGAGTTGCGAGGATGTCACAGGCGAATCGTGCTGGACCAACTCAGTCAGAGCATTTCCGATTCCAGAGTTTCGATGATGCCTCTGGCGAAAATGGGCAAGACCACCTCGCGAGAGGTTTCTCGGAACCCAGAGCTGCGAGGAGGTCTCAGGCGAAGTGGGCCCGAACCACATCAATCCAGGACATATATGAGCCAGGAGTTGCAAGGATCCTCAGGCGAGCCGGGCCGCACCTCTTCGCGCGCGGCATCTGGGAGCCCAGAGTTGCGAAGATGTCTCAGGCGAAATTGGCCAGACCACCTCGCGCGCGGCATCTCGCAGAGTTGGGGAGGATGTCTCAGGCGAGAATGTCTGAAATAAGCTTTTCCAGATCACCTCGCGCTCGGCATGTCTGAGCCAAGAGTTGCGAGTATGTCTGAGGCGAAACGGGCTGGACATCTTCAGGTTAGGGGCATATCTGAGCCCAGAGTTGCGAGGACGTCTCAGACGAAATAGACTGGACCACTTCGCGCGTGGCATCTTGGATCCCAGCGTTGCGAGGATGAGTCAGGCGAAATGGGCCAGGCCACCTTGCCCCTGGCAGCTCGGAGCCCAGAGTTGCGAGGAACTCTCAACGCAACGCAGCGCAGCGCAATTGGAAGTGACGCAACAGAAATGCAATCCCATGCGTTGTAATGCCATGCAATGCAATGCAATGCAATGCAATGGCATCCCATGCAAGTGCAATGCAGCATATGCAAAATGCAAGTGCAGATGGGCATGAGACAGAGGCTTCCACTGTGGGGGATGCGGGATAAAAAGAGAGAGAGAGAGAGAGAGGAGAGAAGGAGCGCGATGAGGAGGATGTGGAGTTGTTTTCCAGGTCTCTCCATGCAACTTGGCATGAACCACAGTGCAACACCAGTAGCAGGAGGCGCGGCTGGCAACAGGATCCAGCACATCGGAAGCGAACATAGCAGGAACACGACGAGGGCCGCCGAAAGCCGCCGAGGGCCGCCGAAGGCCGCCAGGGGCTGCCGAAAGCCACCGGCGGCCGCTGAAGGCCGCCGAGGGGCGACGAGGCAGAGGAGGGCGAGGAGGAGGGGAGGAGGAGGAGGAGGAGGAGGAGGAGGAGGAGGAGGAGGAGGAGGGGGGAGGAGGAGGAGGAAGGAGGAGGAGGAGGAGGAGGAGGAGGAGGAGGAGGAGGAGGAGGAGGAGGAGGAGGAGGAGGAGGGGGGAGGAGGAGGAGGAGGAGGGAGGGGGGGGAGGAGGAGGAGGAGGAGGAGAGGAGGAGGGAGAGGGGAGGAGGCAAGGAGGAGGAGGAGGAGGGAGAGGACGAGGTGGTAGTAGGACGTGAAAAGAGGAAGGAAGGGGAGGAGGACAGGAGGAGGAAGTGGAGGAGGAGGAGGAGAAGGAGGAGGACGACGAGGAAAAACAAGACCAGCAGCAGGAGGCGGAGCTGACAACTGGATCAAGCACATCTGGAGCCCACTTAGCAGAACAGAAGCCCACTTAGCAGGAACACGACCCAGGATGACGCAGGGGTCGACGTGGAGGCGGAGGCGGAGGAGAATCGGCAGTAGCGTCGCCGTCCTTTCCCGCGGCCACGTCGTTGAGGACCAGCTCTACGTCCCAGAGCAGCGAGCCTTCGTGTGAGAGGGGGTGGGTCTCCTCCTCCTGTCCATATCTGGCACCTCCTGTCAGTCCTAAGATAAATAACTCGCACGGTACGGGTAACACGGCAAGCGCTGATACTACATCCACCACCGTGCCGCGAGGTAATGAACGGAGTGTCATCATAAGCTCTCTGCATTGAGTATCGAGTATGCTCTTTACGTGTCCCACACATGCAACTCTCACACATGCTCTTCGCAACCACGCTGCTGTGAAATATGTGTGCGGGAATCCGACTCGGACAGCGGCCAGGACCTATACTCTCACAGATCACTCAGAAAATACACAATGGCGAGCGCACTGTGCGCGATGAGCACCAACAAATACTCATACGCTTGGAAGTATGTTCCCAAATGAAACTGATACCTTTTCAAGTGATGAACCCAAGATGGCAATCAGCAGAATGAACAACCAGATAGCTGCTAGGCAAAACGCTGGGCCCCCAACATGCTAGAATTCTCTGGTAAAATATCCGGCAACATACATATCCCTTCTGCGCGTGCGCCAAAAATGCTGGTGCAGCAGACACGTACCGCAAAACAGAGACGAGCCAACATCGCTCTGCTTTTCAGAACACGAGGCGCTCGTTTGACAAGTAACTGTCGGGCGATCCCGTCTGGGCCGCGAGATGCAAGACGCTTGCAACAAGCATATACCAAAGACTTGTCGAAAGAGGGTGTGAAAGAAGAGCGCGGGAATCCCAATTCAGTTTCCGGCCGAAACGCAGCCCGGCTAATACTTCGATGTTGGTTCGGCGCATGGCGGACGCAGCGCACTTGAACGACGGAGAGGGGCTCGTAATATTATGCGTTTTTCTGGTGCCCAGCCGTGGTGTCTTGTGCCGACGCACCGCGGTCGCAGGCAGGGGCCAGACTCAGAGGCCCACCAGGGCGACGGCTTATCCTGGCACTCGTGCGAGAGCCATGACTCGGAAGTCACCCCTCTAGGATGAGGAGGAGGAGGAGGAGGAGGATGAGAATGAGGAGGAGGAAGAGGAAGAGGAGGAGGAGGAGGAGGAATAGGAGGAGGAGGAGGAGGCTCAAAAGGTGTGTGGCCTACCAGTCGTGCACCCCTCCCGGCATAGAAGCAAGACCGCATGGCCACACCCCCTGGGAGTGCCACACACGCTGGCAGGCCAGGCTCCAAAGCCCACCAGGGAAGCAACGGCTTGCTGGCACCCGTGCGGCAGGCCAGGCTGAAGTGCCCACCAGGAAAACACAGACTTTCTGGCACCTGCCCAATGCAAAGCCGCGTCGGGACGCGATACGTGAAAAAGCGACCCGCCCCAGTCACAGATCGCGTGCTATGGCAGGAGGCGAGGGCAGCGCCCGTGGCATTTCTGGGCGCGTTTTCCCAGGAGGGCCAACCAAATTCTCTATGGAAGTTGGAACCTTCCGCATAGAGAGGAGGAGGGGGGCTGCGATCACACCCCACTCGGGATTAGGGCAATGAGGCCGAATGCCAATAGCCATACGGACTTTGATACTCCAGGCAGCGGTGGAGGGGAGGAGGCTGTCCTGAAAAGGCTTCGGCGCAACACCTGCACCCCTTCTGGTCCCCCCAAACACTATCCCTCCTCCACCTCCAGCTCCCCCTCGTCCTCCTTCTCCCCCTCTCTTCCTCTCCCAACTGTTTCCCCAAGGGGCTCCACAGCGGCTGGGGGGACACTCAGTCCACTAGCTTGGCCAGACTTCGGCCCAACGTGTGGCCGCATGGCCGTTTCCAAAGGCAGGGGGGGTGCGGTGGTTCGCTGTAAGCGCCTTCGATGCCACCGTACCACCTGGCACGTTGAGGCGTGGTGTAACGACACGTGCTGTCGTCTAGCGTTACGTTTTCGGAGGCCTCCTGGGCGCCTTGACGCCTGCCTGGGGCCCTCCAAGGTTACCCAAAGCTTCCAGAACGAAGCAGGAGGGCCACCGTAGGCCGCCAAAATTGACCAAGAGTGCCTGAATTGTGCCCCAAGAGTGTCCCAAGAGGTGCCCAATAGACCCCAATAGTGCCCCAAGAGGTGCTGAAGGGCTCCAGCAGGCTTTCATGACTCAATGCATCCGAAGGCCTGGTCGCCAGGAAGGCCTCTCTAAGACGGCCCCAGGGGGGGGGCCCTAAGACAGCTCCAAGGGTTTCCAAGGCGGCCGAGAGGGGCCAATGGCAGCACCAAAACGGCCCAAGGAAACTCGAAGACGGCCCCAGAGATCGCGAGCGAGCCCCACAGGAGCCCAAGGCAGTCCAATGACTGCCCAAATACACCATTGAAGAGCCCGTCCGGTAACAAAGACGAGATGTGTTACACGCCACGGCCCGTTGGGCGCTGTTCGACGCGTCGCTTCACGTGGGGGCTGCGCTGGCACGGCGGCAGGACTTGCCGCGGGCAGCCTGGCACGTACCAACATACAAAAACATGCCAGATGCTGCGTCTTGCCGCTGCCACAGCTGCCACGAATACTGCTACGGCTGCTTCGACTAGGACCACTCTCAATACCAACGAATACGACTGTGGCTTACACTGGTACCACCTACTGGCACCACCTACGCCTGCAACTTCTACCACGCATGACAATTGTGGAATGACCACTGCGACCGCGACCACTCAACGCCAATGTTATCACGACACCAATGACCACCAACATACTACAACACTTCTTCCGACAACCACTTCTGTACACACGGCCACGTTTGCTGATGCAATGAACATGGCGAATATCTAAACTACGACTCCGGGTACCATTAATACGGCACATGCCATAATATGAGTCTGCTGGGTATCAGGACTACTCCTAAGACCAATGCAGCTACTAGTCCCACCAGTCCTCTGGGCGTAGGTGGTCTAAGGAGTTTCCTCTTCCAACTCCTTCTTCCCCTCCGGGGAGGGGTGTACCCCTCCCCCCTACCCCCTACCCTGGACCTGGACGGGGCGCCCCGCGAGGTGTCAGAGGATACTTGTTCGCCCAAGATGGCTCCAAGAGGGCCTCAGAAGCCCTAGATGACCTCCAAGATGGCTCACGATAGTCCAAGATGCCTCAAGTCGGCTCCCAAGATGCTCCAAGGGGCCCCTAGAACGCTCCGAGATGCCGCCGAGACCTCCAGCGAGGCCGCCAAGAGGCCAACATCTTCCAAACGCCTGAAAAACATCAATGAAGTATACCTTCTCACCTTTTGCTTTCGATGGCCTTCCAAGGCCTCAAGATGGCTCCAAGAGGGCCCAAGAGGGCCCAAAGAGGGGCCAAAGAGAGCCCCAAGACGGCCCCAAGAGCGCTCGAAAAGTGCCCCAAGAGAGGCCCAAGAGGCGATTTCTGGCACTCTAGAATGGCAAGACTAATTGGAACTCCCCTCTGCTTGTGTCGATCTTCTCCTAGATGGCCCGAAGAGCGCCACGAAGGCACCCAAGAGCGCTCCAAGAGGGCCCCAGGAGGCGCCCAGGAGGCCCCAAGAGGCGCCCGAAGGGCCTCCGGGAGGCACCCAAGAGACCCCCAAGACGCCTCAAGAGCACACCCGAGGCACCCAAGACGCTCAAAGAGGCCCCCTGGGCTCGCCAAAATGCCACTTCTCCCCCTCCTCCTCCTCCTCCTCCTCCTCCTCCTCCTCCTCCTCCTCCTCCTCCTCTCCTCCTCCTCCTCCTCCTCCTCCTCCTCCTCCTCCTCCTCCTCCTCCTTGTCCACTATCTCTTGCTCCTTCCTCCTCTTCGCCCTCCTCCTCCTTCTCCTACTCCTCCTTCTCCTCCACCATCCTCCCCCTCTTGGGGTATCGGGCGGCTTCCCCCGCCCTTTGTTCTTCTCCATGCTCCCCCGATTCCCTGATCACCTCAACTCCCCTGGGCATCGTTTCTGGATTGGCTGGTGGGGATACGCGGAGCATTAACCATTATGATAGGTATCCTCGCCAATGCCCGTCGTGCATTGGCCCGTGCATTCCGCCCTTCGCTTCTGAATTGTTTCAGCTCAAACATGATGTAGGCACTCCGTGTCCTGGCCACACAGCATCTCTGTCCACGTCGGCCTGGTGCCCTTCTGCTGGTAGACTGTCTTCCTGATATTCCTCCTCCTCCTCCTGCTCCTCCTCCTCGTCTTCCTCGCCCCCTTGTTCTTCTCAGGACCTTTGACGAAGCCCTTCTCGAACTTCTCTTCGACTACAGCCGCCTCGAGCGTAGGGGACACAACTTAGCAAATTGAGAAAGCAAGAAGCATGTCGTCTGGAACCAGATGTATGGAGTCGTCTACCTCAGGAGATGGGAAAACATTAACCTGGGACCGTGCCCTGAAGAAAAGCTGTGGTTCCAAAAGTGTTTGCAAGCTTGAAGAGTCTGTTGCTTTTTAAAGGGCTGCGGACCCCCAACACACGGGGTTCACTGGCAGTCTGCCGAATTTGCTGGGCAGGCCGGCAATATACCCAGCGTGGACCCCAAACAATGTGTGCTCTAGCGGCATTCCCCAAACAGCGTTCCTTCGCTTAGGGTTGCTTACCTCTTTTCTAACGAACTGGGCCTGACGGCCGGTCTGGCGGCCATGTGGCCGCCGTCGCCGCCCGTCGTCTGAGCCTGGCGGCCGGTCTGGCGGCTATGTGACCGCCGTCGCCGCCCCGCCCCCGCCTCGTCGCCAGACGTCGTCTGGGCCTGGGGGCCGGTCTGGCGGCTATGTGGCCGCCGTCGCCTCCCCGTCGCCGCCTCGACGCCGTGTCGTCGTCTGGGTCTGACGGCCTGTTCGGGGGCTATGTGGCCGCCGTCGCCGCCTCGTCGCAGCCTCATCGCCGCCCCGTCGCCGCCGAGATTGTACAACTTAGACTGCATCATACAGACTCTCCTTTCAAAAAACGAATTCAGATCTACCACCGCCCGAGGCCGGGATTATCCGCCCCCTCTGGGGATGTGCAATTTACAACGGGTTCTGCATCTTCGTTCATTCGAAATCACAACTCATATGATCCCAACCAAGCTGGTATCGTTCTTCCCCACCATCGTTTGCAAAAAAACAGATGCGCGCACACACGTATGTCAAAAAAGCTCACGTTTAAGATCTTCTAACTCAACGCGAAATGAAATTCACGAGAGCGCGTCGTCGAGCGCACGTTACAGTTGTTCTGATAAACGGGCGTCGTAAGGATGCCAAAACCGACAACCACGAAAACAGTTAAAACCATATGGTGTTGCACCATTAGGTTCGAAACTAAGCTTGGGCGATTATGAGAATGTGGAAAAAAACCATGGCGTCCATCTTGTCCGTAAAATGTTATCAATCGGGCCTCTCGCGCGCGCATGTCGAAATCATCTGAACGCTATTGCACGCGTGCTGGGGGACACGATACGTGTCACATAATGCCACGCGGGACACTCGCATCCGTCGGCTGCGCGCGCATGCCTGTATCTTCCCAAAACTTTCATCGCCGACGCGTGGACACGAACATCGTCATCGGCGTGGTCATCATCGGCACCGTCATCAGCCCTGCCGTCGCCTTAATCATCGTCGTCACCAGCACCGGTACAATCACCATCGTCTGCAATCGTCGGCATCCCCATGATACCGCGCACACCCGAATGACCGACCCGCATTGGACTGCCCTCATGTTCGCGCGGCCTACGAGATGCGCAGGCAAATCCCCAACGGTCAGGGCCACCGCGACCGCGTCGGTCGCGCCAGACAAACTTGCCGCCCTGCGCGCGAGCTAGCGCGGCCGAGGCGATGCTCCAGCCAACGCCAAGCAATCATCGCAATCAATGCCGCATGGGTTGTGCAAACCAAGTTGCGGATGGGTGGGTAGGGTGATTGCGCGAGCAGCGGAATTGCCAACTCACTGCGAACAACAATTGATTACAACGCAGAGATTGCACCACCAGACCTTGGGGCGTAGGTGGTTTAACGAGCTTTGTCTTCTATCCCCCCCTTGCTCGTGGGAAGGGTTTTTCACGTCTCCGTGATAATAAACACCCCCCACCCGACTGTGAGCCAACCCGGGACATGCCAGCCCCCATCCACCCACCATCTCTGCCAAAAAAATACAGGATGCACTCTGGCTCCAAATCTCGAGCATGCGCGGGCACCCTGCGACCACTCTGCGTTGGCTTTTGATGGTGACGGCTGGGGGGCGCTGACGGGCTGTCTGTTGCGCACAAGAAACGGTGCGCGCAAGCCAACCGTCCCTGTCAAAACACAGAAAAATAGTTCGGCCTTCAAATCCGGAGCATGCGCGGGCATCCCGCGACTTTCGGCCGGCGCCCAGCGACCGCTCTGCAATGTTGTTTTTACAAAGATGGCAGGAGTGCCGGTATACAGTCGGGGCGTTGACCTAAGGAAAGCGAAATAAGAACGATAAATAAGGAAGTTAAACTTCGATTTCATATCGAAAAACCTAAGGAAAACCTAAGGCAAGCTGCGAAACAATTAAGGAACATGGAGCCCCTCCCCAATGAACAGGGTTCCTTCTTCAGCGCCCCGACTGTATTGCTTGATGCGCGCAGGATAATCATTCTTTTCAAACAAGAACCAATACGCAATGCACATCGCTTTCAACTCTGGAGCACGCCCGGGCGCCCAGCCACCCCTGTCAGAGGCTTTTGACAAGCGGTGCGCGCCAGCTGCGCGCAAGCCAACCGTTCCTGCCACACGCCAAAAAAGTAGAATGCACTTTGGATGGATAATTGCGATGCTGTAGTTGGGCGAAGCACCTCACGGCCCCGCTGCACAGACCACGTGGCGTCCAATTCCGCCATGCCTGCACGGTCCCACCGCGAAGGGGCTGCAGGGCCATCAGCAGAACAGCACTCGTCGATGCCAGGCTCAGCGTCCTCCAGATTGTGAGTGCCAACGGCATCCCAGCCCACGTCGTCCCAACGGGTGACGGCTGTGCAATAGCGAACCTCGCACGCACTGCGCGCGCCGAGCACGTGGCGCACCTGGCGCGGCTGAAGCACTTGGCGCACTTGGCGCTCGCGGAGCACGTGCCGCACTTGCCGCGCCTCGCACGCTTGAGCCTCCAGGGCGCCTGGTGCAACTGAACCTGTGGCGCACATGGCATGCGTGGCGCTCCTCGGCGATGTGCTGGGACCCAGGAACTGCTTCTGTGTTGGGACGGCGGGTGGCAGTGAGCGAGACGGCTTGCGGTCGTGGAGGGGGCTCGACCCCTCCCACTAACCCCTCCCCTAGGCCTGGAAGGGGCGTGTGCGGGAAATCAAAGAATCCAGGATGGCCCAAGGTGGCACAAAGAGAGCCTTCGGCAGCCCAAGACGGCCTCCAAGATGGCTGAAGACAGCCGGGGATGGCTCAATATAGCAACCGATACACCTTCAAGGGGCCCCAAAACAGCCTCAAACCGGTTCCAAATGCCCTTTCGAACCTTCCGAATCACCCTCCGAAGAGCCAAACTCCTCCAAAAACCTTGGACACAATCGATGTGGTTTACCTCATTGCTTTGTCGCGTCCGATCGGCCCCTGGGGCCTCAAGATTGCCCCAAGATTGCCCAAGGGACCCCCAAGAGGGGCCCAAGAGGGCCCCAAGACGGCCCCATGAGCGCACAAGAGACGCCAAAGAGCGCCCCAAGAGGCCACCTATGAGCCTCCGATGGGGGGGGCTATATTAAGTACAATACCCCCCCTTATTGTGAACCATGGGGCCCTGACGGCCCCACGAGACCGGCCAGACCCACCCGAAGGGCCCCAAGAGGGTCCCAAGAAGGCCCCAAGAGGGCCCGAAGAAGGCCCCAAGAGGGCCAAAAATGCATCCAGCGTTGGGTCACCGAAGCAAGGATCTGCATTTAGGACCCCCTCTGTTTGCGCCACCAGGCCCAAGACACGACGCGCCTGAGGCAACTGGCAACGAGTGGCACGTCCAGGACCGCAAGCGACCAACGGCACACGAGGGCAAGAGGTAACCAGCGACACGTTGGGAGAACAGGCAACCAGCGACACGTCGCGCAGGAGTTCTGGCGATCGTGTCTGTATGGACTGGTGGGGACACTCTTTGGTACGCGGGCGCGCGAAATGGGCCGAACGCCGGGCTAGCAGGGGCAGGCTATGCCACTGGCTGCGGGGAAGTAGCGACGCTGGTGGAGAACGCGAAGCGTCAAGAATTCATTGCAATGCAGAGATTGCCAAACATAGATTGCACGACATAGTTCGCACCACGTCGAACGCATTACCTTGAATACGGTCGGATTGGTGCTCCAAATGTTCCCTTGCGTACGTTTCTGATGAGCCGTCCTTGTCGAAATTCGTGAGACTGTTTTGGCGGGTATGCGAGGGGTTGGGGGCTACCCTTGTGCACCCTCAGGGACTATCCATGGTCTTGGACGTCCGTCTTTGTGAAGTCCAAACATCATTAGATTGAGCTTCCCAGAGTCACTCAATCATACAGTAAGGCTGGAAAGTGTCAACTGGGAAAGCCCTGGGAAGTGGAAGTCGCCATGACTGGAACAACTGATTGGGGCTGTAACGGCCCCGAACACACCTGGGATATGGTGGCCAGGGCTGGGATTCTGGACACCTTGCAAGGGCTGCTGGCCCTAGCCACAGCTGTTACAACTTCACTGTAGCCCGCCACGCGTTACTGCGGAAACACCCCCCAAAGGCATCGATTCAGCCAGAGATCTGCGCTGAAGAGAAAGAGAGAGAGGGGGGAAAAGAGAGAGAGAGAGAGAGAGAGAGAACAAAAAAAGAAATGGAGAGAGAGAGAGAGAACAAAGAACAACGGAAAGAGAGAGAGAGAGAGACAGAGAGAGAGAGAAAGCACGTTGGCCAAACAAACCCCCCCTTCGCACCCACCCACACACGCATATCGAGAAAAACTAGTGAACAAACAACATACCATGGCGCCGATCAACGTACGACGAACGTGGGGTCCATCAGCAGGAGCAGTGACAGCATCGCTCATGGCTGTGGCGATAGACTTCAAGGCAGGGATTCCCTCTTAACTCCTACTGCCATCCCTCTCTACTTCCCATCCTCTCCCCCTTCATGCCATCCCCGTTCCTCATCCCCCTGGGCACCCCGAAGCGACGCCGAGCTGCGAAGTCGGCCGACGTCGCCGAAAGCTCCTACAGCCAGCTTGGGTCGGACGAAGGTCACTCCATGTGGCGCCCACATATCCTCATCACCCCAATTATCATACTCCGTCTCCTCGTATCCTTCTTCTCCTCCGTCTCCTCCTCGTC